TGGGAAAAAAAGTAGTAAATTGCTTACTGATGAATTCTTTAAATAATTTCATTTTACTGTTGTCAACGATGAAGATTAATGAATAGATGGTATAATGATTGAATATTAAACATTCTGTAAGTGAAGGAGTAATCTATCAGGGAAATTTACAAAATATTAAGGATTATTTATAAAGATATTACATTGAAGAAAAGAGCTATTTTAAATTATTTTGGTTGAATACCATTAAATTTGCAGAGTATGGTATTTGTTGTTGTTGGTGGTGGTATAATGTTTAATACTCTAAATTATAAGAGATTTTTGATTGATTCCTTATTAAATCCAGTTCATCACCGCTATTATCTCTAGTATATTGACTCTACTAGGTCTACAGTCTTAGAGCTTATATTGGGAAGGGGTAACAGCTACAATCCCTATGACTGAAATTAAGAACACAAAAGACTGATGCAACGAAGATTTATTGACTCTCTAAATTCATATCATTATTAGAACAAGATACAGTCATTTGGGTAGTAGTATTTACACACAATAATATCACATGTAGGTAGGAAATATCTAGAATTACTTGAATAAAGTTAAAATGCTCGGATACATTCAGCTGATGAGTAGCGAAAATGACGAAGGCAGAATCATGGATTTCATTGCTAACGACGTTCCATCTATTCTATCTAGAGTTACTGTGAAAATACACGCACAGCGAACATACATTACTGAGTTGGTACAGAGAATATAATTGTCGCACTGAACGAAGTTCGCGGCTGCCACCCTTGCTGAAATTCATAAAAAATTCATTCAAAAAATTCAGACTGAAATAATGTCATCTTTTTTTTTCCCATTATACCACAAATGTTTGAAAGAGATCTTCGAAATACTTTATATGACTTTGTCTTTTTGTTTTCTCCTACTCATTCATCGAGAGTTTCTTTAATACGCAGTAAATGTCTATCCACATTAAATTACATAACATTATCATTTATTTTTCTAGCCAAGTTAGTGATTACTTATATCAGATATTAAATTTTAATAGTCTAAGTCATGGACTGACTGTAATTAGAGAGCTAGAAAACCATAAAGGACTGGATACATGTTTTATCTTAATATAGGACTTCTCAGTAGTGCACATATGCAAACTCACCAGGGATCGTACCTCTGATCCTCAGGACTGGCATTAAGTGCTTAAACTTCAGACCACCAATTTAGGTCCTATTACTGCATTTTTAATTTGATTCGATTGTCGATGAGCACATGGATATTCAGTGTCAAGGAGTGCCCTATTCGGGTGACGTAGCTGTCCGATACTTCTTAGTTTTTAATGGTTTTCGAAATGAGATGTCTTTGGTGTAAACTATAAAGTCCAACAATCCCCATTATCTTTCTGTACCGATCCTAAACTAAATATTTGGAAACAAATTTTAATAACTTTTCTTAAGTAATCATTGTATAGTATAGTACGGTAAATTCATTCGCTAGACTTTAACACTACTGTGTAGGTACTAATATTTAAGTAAATTACTATTTGAGATCCATATGCTTGAGCAAGGAATATAGAAGTAGGTGATTTGTTTCGAACCGAATCAATGTTTACATTACAAAACGTGGATGATATAAAATTGACAATGAAATTCTTAACAAATTTCAACACTATCTTGTATTGAACTCATGGCTTTGATCCAAGGAAATGATCGCCGTAAAGTTTCGTTGAAAAATGCTCATTTAAAACTTTAAGCTAATTAGATAAGTCTACTCAAAACATAGATTAAAATACAAATCGCATCCGAAAATTCTCTACTTATTCTCCTCATTCACTATGGTTTACCTGAGAAAATCGTCATTATCATACGGAATTCATATAATGTATTACACTACAAGGTTGTGCATGGAGGATAGCTGACAGATACATTCCAAGTCAGACAAAGCTGCTTACTCTCTCTCTTTCTCTTTCTTCTGGTACTTGATTGAATTGTAGAGATCTCCACATCCGACGGGAAGGACGGGATACAATGGGCAGGATGGATGCAACTAGACGATTTGGACTTTGCAGATAACCTAGCTATCCCATCCAACACACGAACAAATGCAGATAAAGACAACTATTTTAACAGCATTCTCTGTCTGCATGAGTAGGCCTCAACATGCACAAGGGAAAAAGCAACATTTTCAAATACAACATGGAGAACAACAACAAAATCACACTTGATGCCGAAACTCTGGAAGATGTGGAAAGTTTCACGTACCTCGAAAGTATCATCCGATGAACAAGGAGGATCCGATGCTGACGTAAAGGTGAGGGTTGGCAAAGCAAGGGCCCCATTCCTATAGTTGAAAGACATATGGAACTCTAAACAGCCGTCGACCAAAATCAAAGTCAGAATCTTCAAGACGAACATCGAGAGAGTTAGTTCTGCTGTAACGGAGTTGAAACTTCAAGGACTACTGCAACCATCATCAAGAATATACAAGTGTTTATAGACAATTGTCTATGCAAGATACTCTATTTCCGTTGACCAGATATCATCAGCAACAGCCTACTATGGGAGGAAACGAACCAGCCCCCAACTGAGGAGGAAATCGGGAAAAGAAGTTGAAAGTGGACAAGTCACATATTGAGGAAATTATCAAACTGCATCACTAACCAAGAGCCAACTCGGAATCCTGAATGAAAACGGTAAAAAAGGAAGACTTAAGAGCACACTGAGTCGAGAATTGGATTCAGACATGGAAAGAATGATTAATAACTGAAAACAAGTGGAAATGGTTACCGAGGATAGAGTTGGATGGAGAATGCTGTTGAGCGGCCTATTCTTCTCCATGAGGGGTATCAGGTGTAAGTAAGTTATTTTAAGAAAAAATGTAAAACAGGGAAGAGATGAAAGAGTCACTACTATCATAGTTCACTTGTATAATAACAATAAATAATAAATTAGTTACGAAATTAAGATGAATCAAACGTAGAATAAAAGGAAAACAAATTGTGCATATAGTGATTTTGAAATTATCTTCTATGTAAAAATGATAATCTAACGGTGATTTAGTAAAAATCACAACACAATGAATAATTTGAAATATATTTTTCTCTGCTAGTGTGAAGTGGATTTGTATTCAAGATTCTATAGAGAAGGCGTGATCTGTGTAGAGTTACCTACATTGGTAGTGAAACAGTTATTCACCAATTGATATTAAATAAGGATCAGTATAGGGTTATGATATTGATCTTAACTCAGCAATCTCCACAATCCTATGCTGATAATTATCATGTGCTCACTGATGACTGACCTCAGAATGGATTTCCTGAAGCTCTAATGAGAAGCCATGGCCAGTGGAGTTCAACCGTGTCTATTGTGAGACAATTACTCACTGAATATAATGGTGGAGGGTCGTGCAATATCGTGGGTTGGTTGAAGTTAGATATGAACACCGTTGGGTACCGGGTCATTGGTCTAGAGTTCAAGCGTTCGCGTGCGAGACCTGAGGTCCTGGGTTCAAGTCCCTTTGGTGTGTGATCGTGGATGAGCACTCCTGGGGAGTTCTATACTTTGGACGAAATGACCACCCAGTACTCCCAGGTTTTAAATGGTGGTCTAACATTGATCTATCGATGATATCGATTAAATAAGGACTTTATTATATCATCAGTCGTGTGAGATTTGAGGTATAAAACTTTCTATAATCTATTGGTAGGTCAAGAGAATGAACAATTTACTTTGTACATATTCACTAAAAAAACTGATTAGTTCAGAATTACAAAAACCACTGCCAAATGAAGTCGGATTGCTGGTGTCAGTGGAATTCAAGATTTGCTTTTCATTCTATTTGGTACTTTTCAGCTGGATGTACCTACATTTCTGTATTGATCTTCACGCAAAAAATTGAACCTTGTACGTTTCCATGAGAAAATACAAACTTTTACAAAGAAAAATCTCTAATCTCTAATAAACACTAATTGTTATAATCGATCAACGTTAGACATTCTGATTCATCAGTGTAATAATAAAAACTGTAAATATTTATTCTGTTTCTAGTTGATTCATCTATAAATGAAAGAATAGCTAGAGAGAATATGAATACATCTATTTGACAATAATCAACTCAAAGAAATAAATTTCTTACATTCAACTGATTTCAAAAGAAAACTATTAGGTGATGAGCTTAAAATAAACATCTGAATACATGAATTTCTTTCTTTCTAGAAGTCGGATCTACAGACAAAATTAGTTTAGATTAAAAGAAGTGATAAGCTATAAATCTTAAAATAATTGTGATGATGGATTAAAATAAGGTTAAAGAATAGAAGATATATTGTATAGGTAAACAATTGTGAAAATTGTATACAATCTACATAAACTGTATATTATAAATAAGCAAAATACATTTTATATATAACTGGGGGAAAAAAATATTAAAATACGGACAGACCCGACTAGTTTGATTTGAACAAATAGCAGTTAATGGAGACATAGACATATGAAACTATACATATAGAAACATGTTAGTAAATATCCATGTGAATAGTATTCATTCTCCAATATCCCTCTTGTATCCATGACCAATTACATAAATAAGTATATGTACATATATGGAGACATGTATACATGCATGTATATGTGTATCTATGTATACAAATTTGTGTGTTTGTCATGTATAAATGCATAAATGTATAAACGGATACAAATTAGTTAGAAAGTGAAAACAATTAATTGACAACACAACTTATAATCATCTTTTATCTCATATAGAAATGTCCATTCAATATTAGAAGTAACAATAATAATAATGAAAACTATTACATAACTTCACACTATACCATGTTTATTTATTTATTTATTTAATTATAATAAATCTAATTGTGATATTAATCACTAATGGAATATAATAAAAAAATTTTTGAAAAAAGAGAGGGAAAAATTATTTATCATAATCTTATTTCTCTCTCTTATCTACTATCAAACATTAAATTAAATTAAATTTTTTAAACTACGCTCTTCTTTTTGTTTTTTTTAAAACAAATATTGAACATATTGAACAGTTAAATGAAATTTTTTCCGCGCTACTTTTAAAACGGATGTTAACAGAAATGATGATAATCTGGAGGAAAAAATAGATACGAAAATAAATAAACAAACAAAACTAGATTAATAATTTTTTAGAAAAAAAAGAAAAACAAGCGGGGGGGGGTAAAATGTATATAACATTAACTCAAAAAATATTGAATTATTTTAATAAACTAATTAGAAAACAATTACGTAATTATCTTTTATTGATTTATTCTATTACTGCTATTAAATATATAAAACAATATTATCAATTATTATTATTATTATATAATACATTGAACTTATGCAATATAGTGATATTGTATAACATATGTGTAATCAGTGTGTTACAATTAAATTGAATTATACAAATTATTTAATTATTCAATTTATTATTCATTATATAAATGATTATTATTATTATTATTTAATTAATTATCAAAAATATTATTTAAAATCATCGTCATCGTCATCAACATCAACATCGTCAAGATCATCATCATCATCATCATCATTATGGTTATTATGGAAATCAAAGAATATTTCAAAGAAACAATGTTATGTAATAAAAAATAATAAATTTATCAAGCAAAAAAATTTTTATTCAGCTTACAATACTACTAATACAATTTATAATAAATCATTTATATGTTTATGTATTGTGATGATATTTTGTGTTCAAATGTCAATTTCATTGACAACAGGTATAAAGATATCGGATCAATTTATTGATAGTAGTACTAGTAATAATAATAATAATAATGGATATGAATTTATGGATATTGAATTATTACGTCATATGGGTGAAGAAACATTACGAACTGGTGGTGTAATCACTCAATTATTTGATGCAATTGAATTCTCTGTTGTACATCAACGATCTACCTCATATTTAAGGTAAATATAGATTATGTATTGTTTTTGTAATAAGATAACAATATGTTATTTATATGTATGTATAATGATGAAGAATTATATTTAGCTGAAAACCATTTTAATTGTCTGAGTTTTCATGAAATAATGTTAGTTTCTATATGAATTGTATCGTTAAGTACAGTGTCTTAGTCTTGTTTGTAAAGTTTATGTTTAAAAAAGATTATGAACTCATGTAAGGTATACATATGTGTTACTTTAATTGGTAACCATTATAATGCTTGCTTAATCCTTAGAGATGATTGAATCCTATTTTCAATTTAATTTTGAATGAAATCACAAATTTATAAAATGATATTTTATATATATCGTATTATGATTTCATGAGAATTGCATTCTTTGAACCCGTTAGTTTAATTGTGAAACGTTCATCGTTTATCTAGGCGAAATCATCAGCGCAAATTTTGGATGATAATAATCGATGAACATTTCTTTTCAATTGATTAAAATCTTAGACTGTCAATAATCAAAACGATTGCTGACTGCCATGTGTGTGATAAAATAAAACTGGCAAACTATTGAGTTCATGGTTATTACTTGTCAATGATTCATGAGTGCATATCATTAACCAATCTTAACATGAGATGGTGAAGATTTGCAGCTCAGGTGGATGGTTTTGATGGAGTTTTGTTCTCTGATCTCAGAGAACAAAACTCCATCAAAACCATCTTAGCATCTTTAATCAGGGTTGAATCTATCAAAATATGTAGAACATAAATGCTATTAATTTTGCATTTCATATAAAATCCAAAGTAAAAATTTGCGGTAAACATCAATGAAAACAAAGGAACCACTGGAGACTTGTTTCACTAAGGTATGAGATTCCTCAAGAGTGAGTATTCATTGTCCTAAGAAGGATCAAATCTAATATCTTCTGTGAGAACTTAACCTTGAGACCACTAATATGTCATTCAATCTTTACATGTGTAACTTTGATCAGTTTGCTATCTTATGCAGCCACCTCCAAATATCTTCTGTAGGTGACTATTGTACATCTGACACAGTTGAATTCCATTGGTCAGTGCTTCTTACAAAAGCTTCGGAAACTTACGTATGTAGTAAATTACTAATGAGCACATACAGATTATCAGTATGGCTGTTTGTGACGAATTTCGAGCGTTAATGAAATCATAAACTTCACTAATCTAGATAATCAGTAAAAACTATTGAACTATTGGTTTGTAATCATAATAAAATTCAGTATTCGTCACAGACCGCAACAGTAAGAAATAATTTTTTCTATAATATTTATTTTAACTTGAGTTAAATAATAATACTTCATCAGTTTAAGTGTTGTGGAGATTGTTAAGTTTTTGACTGAAATCATGAGTCAATTGAAGCTAGACCACCATAGAATCGTGGATGCGCACTGCTGAGGAGTCCCATGCTGGAACAAAATGGCCGTCTAGTGCTTCCAGGTTTTTCATAGTGGTTTAGCTTCAATTGACTCATGATTTCAATCAAAAATAATATTTTACTTTGAATGAGATATATACCTTAATCCTAATGTTGGACTGATTTTCTTAGGGGAAAACAGTCATTATACTAATTTGTGTTAATCGAAATTCAGTTATTTTACAATAACATATATGTTATAAGGCTGATTATAGGTGTTATTTATATATATACATTCAAAAGGATGATTTTGCATAAGTGTCCATCGAGAACCAACTTCAACTGTAGAATCATTTCAGATCAAAAATCACCAAATAATTTTTCAAGATCTCAACAATGCACATCAACAGATTCATGGAGAACATCAAATGAAGATATTTAAGTCCTCTTTTATAAGTCATTATGATTGGAATCTAATATTTCGAATTTCTAATATTAAGTAGTTTTATGTAATCAATAGGTAACCTTGATTGGCTTAGGCTTCATACTAATTAAAACTCATCAAGAACCTTGAAAACAATTAATGCTCTTAAAAAAGATGTTAAGTGGCATTATACAGTTTCATAGTCTAAGATATGTAGTCATTATCAGAATGGGTTTTGTGGAGATTTTTTAGAAACTTCACTGGTTGAAACGATGGAAAACTTCGAAGCACCACAAAACCCATTCTGATAATAATAATAATAATAATAATAATAATAATAATAATCGCTTACTCACTAGTGACTGACTTCAGGAGATACTCCTGGAGTTCTAGTGAGAAGTCGTTACCAATGGAGTTCAACCAAGTCTGTTGTGAGATAGGAACTCACTGAATACAATGGTATACGGTGGCGCAACTTCGTGGATTGGTTGAAATTGAACATTAACACCGTTGGATACCGGCTCAGTGGTCTAGTTGGTTAAGCACCTGGCACGAGACTAATAGGTCCTGGGTTCGAGTCTCGCGGGAGGAGGCGAGATTGTGGACGCGCACTGTTGAGGAGTCCCATACTGGGATGAAACGGCCATCCAGTGCTTCCAAGTTTTCCATGGTAGTCTAGCTTCAATGGACTCATAATTTCAACCAGTGAAATATCTGTTTATATTTCTTAAGTTTAGTAAATGTTCGAAATTGTATAAATTATAACAATTCATGATTACATCACTAGCCATTATCTTTTTATTATTATTATTATTATTATTATTATTATTTCACCTAAAGGGATTAAGCACCATGTGTTACATAATCACAATCAATATTACTTCATGTACATGTTCATAATTTCAATGCATGAAAAAAATTTTTTTTGTTTTTCATAAATCAATGTTTATGTAGTAGTGAAATACGTTATGTCTTTTTGTTTGAAAAAAAAAAGGTTTAAGTTGTTACTATGGTATATCAATTGGAAGTTTTGTGATTATGACAAATTTATTAAAGGTCATTATGTATATAAGTAAGGGAATAAGAGAAGTGCAAAATGACCGACAACATTTTAATAATAATAATCATAATTTAAACATTTTATAATAATAAATGACATTAGTATTCAATCATAAATGTACTTTAAAAGCGAGTACTTTAAGTGTTATTTTTAGTTGGGATTCAATGTATTTTTTTTAGAATGTATTGTACCATGTCATTTTGATGGCTAGTTAGATTAATGAATAATCTTAAATGCAAATTGACTTACTTACTTATACTTGTTAGTCCTTATAGAGGACAATAGACCGGTTAACAATATTTTACACTCAACTCTATCTTCGGCAATCATTTCCACTTTTTTTCCAGTTATTATTCATCCTATTCATGTTTGCATCCAATTCTCGACGCTGTGTGTTCTTTGGTCTTCCTTTCTTTCTTTTTTTCGTTTCCATTTAGGATTCCGAGTTAATGCTTGGTTAGTGATGCAGTTTGATGATTTTCTTAATGTGTGTCCTATCCACTTTCATCGTTTTTCTTAATTTCCTCCTCATTTGGGGGTGGGTTTGTTCTCTCCCACAGTAGGTTATTGCTGTTTGTATCCGAGAGAATGCCGTGACTGGTGAAGTCCAATTTATTAACATTATTGACAGCATTGGATTATAGTCTCTTTAAATTGTGGATTGATTTAAGTTGGGAATTTAAACTATCAGATGGTAATTTAACGATCTTAAGATTAAACACAAAACCAGAAGTTTCTGTATTCAATCCATGATCGTTTTTTGTTGCACTCTGTTAAGAAATCACATTCTAGGATGAAGCAACCGGCAGTGTAATCAAACTTGAAGAAACCCGTCAACGAAAACACATGTTCTTTACAATAAATAGTAAACTGATATTTATTTTCAGAAGGGGGTTTTCTAGAGATTTTAGTAATTCAATAGTTGAATTCATGAATCAATTGCAGCTAGACCACCACTGCTGAAAAGTGCCATACTGGCACGAAACAGCCGTCCAGTGATTCCAGGTTTTCAGTGGTGGTCTAACACCATTCAGTTCGTGATCTCAATCAATAACTTAATAATCCTCACAACCCTATACTGAAAATTACCATTTTCTCACTAATAGCTAGCTTCATGAAGGATTTCTCGGAGTTCTAGTGAGAAGCCGTGACCAGTGGAGTTGATCTATGTCAGGTAGAGACAGATATCTACCTCAGTACAATGGAAGATGGTCGCGCAATTTCGCGAATTCGTTAAGGTTAAACAATTACACCGTTTGATGCCGGCTTAGTGGTCTAGAGGTTAAGTATTCGCTCGTGAAACCGAAGGCCCTAGGTTCAAATTATGACAGCGGGGTCATGCATGAGCACTTCTGAGGAGTCCCACAATAGGACGAAACGGCTGTTCAGAGCTTTCAAGTTTTTAATGGTGGTCTAACATCAATCAGTCCATGATCTCAATTTAAAAAATTGTTAACTACTATCTCTTTCTATAGAAAGAAAGAAATTTACATCTTATGTCATTCAATTACTTGTCTTGTTTGATTAGGAAATCAATAATAGCTTACAAATTTTTAATTTATTAGATTGAGAATAATCGTCAAGATATGAAATTAGAAAAAATAATTTCGTACTGACAATTAGCACTAGTGACTAGCTTTGTGAGGACGTTTCCGGAGCTCTAATGGGATTCATGGATTGATATGAATTACACATAAACGCCATTGGATGCAAACTCAGTGATCTAGAGTATAATGGTTCGTGTATAATACGGAAGGTCGATCACCACTTGCGAAGTAGTCACTGTACACCACTGAGGATTCCATTACTGAGACGAAATGACCATCTATTGTTCTCAGGTTTCTAACTTTGTCTAACATTGATGAGTTCATGACCTTAATAAATCTTCTTTTTGCTTAAAAACACACTCTTAAAGTGCTTACAATCATTTTTAGGCTCTTAAGCATTTGTGTTATGTTGTTGTGACAGATTACTTAATGTAAGCCTAAAAGCATTACTTTGAATTCAAAATCTATATGGATTGGTTTATATTATTAAATAGAATATAATGCCTTAATTTAAAAATATCTGAACAATATCACTTACCAAAATGCTTTTTAAAGATATTTATATTACTCAGAGTTGTTAATCACATCAAGTGATATC